AAGAGGCATCACCACAAGCACCAAGATCAAGGTGTACAGAGCCATAGTCCTCACCACACTTCTCTATGGCTGCGAAACCTGGACTGTCTACAAACGTCACGCCAGAAAGTTGAACCACTTTCACACCACACGGCTCGGGAAAATTCTTGGCATCAAATGGCAAGATAAGATCCCAGACACAGAAGTGCTGACTACAGCTGGCCTGCCTAGCATCTACACCATCCTAATGCAGACACAGCTTTGCTGGGCAGGTCACGTTGCTCGCATGCCAGACCACCGGCTGCCAAAGAAACTCTTGTTTGGCGAACTGCAGCATGGAAAGCGCTATAAGGACACCCTTAAGACTGCTCTGAAAGCTTTCAACATCAACCACACTATGTGGGAGCTGATAGCTCAGGACAGGAATGACTGGCGAGCAGTTGTCCAGAAAGGGGCAACATCCTGCGAGGCAAGCAGAATCTCACTAGCTGAGCAGCGCAGGCAGGCGAGGAAGACCAGAGCCATCAGACCCCTCGATGCCACCACCCTTCCCTGTCCACACTGCCAGAGAACGTTCCGTGTGCAGATTGGCCTGACAAGTCATCTGCGTACCCACCAACTTCGACCCCAGGATGACTAGATGGTCCTCGTCGAATCGACGGACAAACAACAACAGATGCAGAGTCACCAGTACATTGTAGATAGTTGTACTGGAATGCTCAATTACTCTGAAACATCTCTGGCATGTTTAGCCCTGCAGTAATAACCTCTGATATTCCTTAAATCATCACAATCTGCACTGCTTGTTTCACAAGTTATTTTCTCCCTTTCTATGAAGGTTCCTTAACCCTTTGGTTGTTGTGACCCCAAATCATAAAGCATCTGTGTCAAAATATTTAACCCTTTCAGGGTCCAAGGCCAAAATCTGAAGTGGTGCCCCAGTGTCCAAGAATTTAAAAAAAAAATTGTTATTTTTTCTTATGAAATGGTAGAAAATTTTTTTGTGAAGGTAATAAAACAAAAAGTACGAAATTTGACTGAAAAAGTGACGAAATTATGCTCTCGCGAATTTTGATGTGTCAGCGATATTTACGAATCGGCGATTTTGCCGACTTTGACTCCCATTTTAGACCAATTATATTATTCCAGTCGACCAAATTCTTAGCTTAGCTATGTTTTAATCGAAAATCATGGTCTGTTTTTTTCTCTCATTATACACAGTGTGCTGCAGGATTTGTTTTATGTGGTGCACACATACCACATAGACATATTCTCTCATATCTAGGCCTAAATTTACCACTCACAGTTTATCAGAGTGAGCTGAGCTCATGGTGTAGATCTACGGTTTGGACCCTGAACGTAAAGCCGTAGATCTACGGTTTGGACCCTGAACGTAAAGCCGTAGATCTACGGGACGGACCCTGAAAGGGTTAAAAAAAAAATTCTTTTTTCTTATGAAATGATAGAGAATCTTTTCCAAATGATAATGACACCAAAAGTACGAAATTTGATTGGAAAACTTGTGAAATTACGCTCTCGCGAAGTTAGCAATCTCAGCGATATATACGCAGTGGTGATTTGGCCCTGTTTTCGGCCAATTTCATTGTTCCAGTTGACGAAACTCATAGCTATTTCTTTAGAACTTCATTTGTTCTATCAATTGAGTACAAGAAACTGCACATTTATCAATTCCAACTGCCCAATAAAGTGGTCAGAAATTGGCAATTTGGCCAGTTTCACGCAAATTAAACAAGATGCCAATTTCAAAATAAGGTCCAGAATGAGCAATGCAGACATTCCTGGCACTAAAATAACATTTTCTCTGTTCATTAGTCACGTCTTCAGGCCCCTCTTGTATTACTCTTGCCTTCTATTTTGAATTTTTATTCACAAAACATAGATTTACTGTTATGCAGACTACTGCATTATTGTAATTGTATAAATAATGTCATCCCATTTGTGGTTGTGTATTGGACTGGCCAGTTGGACATGTATTGGATGGTGATATCATTTGTTTACTCGTGAACATCGGCAAAAATAGCACATTTCCGCTACTTTGAGCTCAATTTCAAGGTTCTTTTCATCGTAAAACCAATCAAAATCATCTCTATTTCTGTAATATGTCATCCATTCTATCAAGAGAGACCAAGAAAACGAGAATACAACTATAAATACTATATGAAAATGCACCTCAAGTTGAAGTTTTAATCCAAAAACACGGTCGGAGTTTTTTTTTCTCATTTTGCACTGCGTGCTGCAGGATTTTTTTATACTGCACACACTGACCATGCAGACTCATTCTCTCACGTGGGCCTACAAGCTTTCTCCTGCTTGATTTGAAACTGCTAGAATTTTGGCTCGCAAGACGTACATATATGACCGAAACATTCAAAGGGTTAAATCCTGTGATGGGTTCTTGGTTTAAGGAATTGCACCTAAACAACTTTTATTTGGATTGAACTTTGTTTCCTCCCATTCCTTCAGGTACGTTTGACTTCTTTGGATTTTGCACCCTTTCCCCCATGAATGTAATAATTTTGTGTTCTTGCCTCTGTGGATGGTGGATTCTCTTAAGACCAAAAGTATGGGCAGTTTGCAGTATGCATTTGCCATATACCCCCTCAAAACGTCTAAAATTTTCACTTTCTTCATTGCTGTTAGAGGTTGACATCTCTTGCTACTTCCAGCATCACTAGTATTCCTCCTGAGTACCATGTTTAATATTCAGAAAAGTCCAAAATTGTTTGATAAACAGTAAGGCACACAATACTCCCAGAAAGCAACTGTAGGCAGCATGAATGTCAGTGGGGTCGAGAAGCTGTGCCTCCTGAAACACAACCCATAGACCCAACTTGGGTTGGAAGGGGAATATGCCATGGCATGAACTAAAGAGTGTTTGCATGTAACTTGAAACTTCCACTCCTCCAAAACATAATAAGGCTTTATCAAGCACAATGCAAAATGCACATATCAATCACATTTCTGCAAAATTGCTCCATGTATGTATAAAAAGTAGGAAAATGAAGTGAAGATATTACATAGCTAGTAAAAGGGTGGAAATTTGCAAATCACCACTATTGACTGTGATGCAAAATTGATATAGGAGAAACATATTCAAAAAGATGGTCTCCGATGGCACATGGACTTTATTGGGCTGTCGTGGATGGCTTATCCTCTGGGTTAAAAAGTGAACAAAATTTTTCCAGAAAAAGCATAAAAGGAAGAAAAAGGCATTCAGAAAAGTGGAAAAAACAAATTCTACATGTGTAAAATCTAAGTTGAAAGCTGCCACTAGAAGTGGATCATTACTCAAAGGAGGTTCATAAACCATTGAGAAAGATGAGCTAAATTTTCAGATAATGTTCCAGTGTGAATCAGTGTTAAACAATCCTCTAAATGACAGGTCAGTTAAGGATCCAAATACTATATACTTTTTTGATGATTTCTGCCCACCATGTGAATAATTTACCTGACAAGCAGAAATCCCCCCAGAATTCAAACAGGAAATAAAAAAATGCCCTTACATGAAGCACCAGGGCATGAGTCATGGAATTCTTCATTTATAAATAAATGAAAATAATATTAAGTACAAGCATTTGGTATTCTATAGAGAATGATCTTATAGCTAAGTAAAATTCCAGAGGCCTTCAAAAATGCAGACTTTGCTCTTTCACAAAACCCAGGTCGACATTAACCCTTTAGAGGCTTTGGAGGAAAATCAGAATGTAGTTGTGCTCTAGTAGCAAACAGCAAAATCTAATCTTAAAGTATCCCAAAGAAGTTTTCAAAGAAGATACATTTGTAGTTACATGAAAGAAACTTCAAGGTTATACAGAGTATTTTGGGCAACTTAAATATAAACTTAAAATTACTTGATATTGTTTTGTTTAAAGGTAGAATGTGTGTGCTAAGTTACATAAATTCATCAGGTGGTGGTATCAAATACAAGGATTGTTTTGGGTAACAAAACTTTAAAATAGCAATATGATTAGTTGAATATTTTGAACTATCTTCTGTTGGTGGTAATATAGTGGAAACAATATGTGCATAGGTATAAGTGCTGATTGGAAATATAATAGGCAGGTTGCATTAGATATATTAGCCATTAATATTCAATCTGTGGAAATCAGTTTCAGATGGTATTTTGGGAAAATTTTTGACACTGCTGGCAGCTACAGAAATTTAATGAAAATTTAAAAATCTTCTAGTATTGTTCCCTATTCTGGGCCTTTCATGTACATGAAGCTTCTTGGGTTAAGTACCAGTGTGGTGGGGAAGGGGGGTCTAGTTTCTTCACCAGGACATTCTGCCCAAGAGCTAGGGTACTCTGTACATCGTAGTTAAAGCACTCTGTAAATGTTATTGTTAGTACTGTCTGTACATCATGTTTCCCATATTATTTATGCACAATATGGAGAAGAAAAATCCATACTATGGAGCATAAGTAGATAATGGTAGAGAAAAGGAGAAGCAGCCAGAAGATGGGTCAGGAGGGGATGAGAAATCTAGTCATGTCAGTTGTGTGATGTGAATATCAATGTATTTGACTGTAATGGGAAAGGGAGAATTGACAGAACTCAGATTGAGACTGAGATTCATATTTATGGTGTATAGGGGCCCATTAAGAAAAAGACTGCACCTTTGAAGTCTAGACGAGGGATAGGCATTATCAACAGGATTACAGTGGACCCCCAATGCAACCAATTATGTAAGTGCATTCGTACGTGTATGTTTGGGGGTCTGAAATGGGCTAATCTAATTCACAATATTCCTTATGGGAACAAATTCGTTCAGTACTGGCACCTGAACATACTTCTGGAATGAAATATCGTAAACCGGGGGTCCACTGTAGTCCATAGCTATGGACACTAATTTTGTAGAAAAGATCATCTTTAGAAATGTACTGTACAAAGTATTTCACAATTTCATGTTAAAATTCAATTGATTTTATTTTCTTCTACATAAATTGTTACTTTAGATTGGTAGGAAAGTGTCTTAATTTGCATCTTTTGCAATTTCAG